CAAACGGAGATTTATACTTCTATATTAATTTCTGCTACCTAAATAATATTACTTAAAAGAATTAATATTTCCTTTTCTTTATTAATAAGACTTTAAGTTAATTATCTAAGGCTAAGATCTATACTAAATTAGATATTTACTAAGCTTTCTATTATATAGCTATAAACCCGGACTTTTAGGAGCTAATAATATTCCGTACCTACTATAAAGTATATAAATGTAATATTTTCTAGGAAGGCCTTATAAATAGCCCGGCTATATATTAATACTATATAAATAATATACTTTTTAAGTATTTAAATAACTTTTATATAATATATCTTAATAATATTCTTATTTACTTAGAAAACCTAGTAAAATACAAATAGTATATATGAAAAGTACTAGATTACTTATATCTAGCTAGCCTCTAAGTAAATATTAAGAAATCGGAATTTAAAGTTATATATATAAAGTATTTGGGCTTTATTATTTCTATATCTAGTATTAAAGTAGATCCTAATAAAGTTAAAATAATATATAACTAGTAATTCCTAAAGATAATTAAGAGTATATAGTTCTTTCTTGGCTTCTATAACTTTTATAAATACTTTATTAGAAAATATAGACGGATTACTAGATCTCTTACCTTATTTATAAAAAAAAGTATTTCCTTTAAATAGTTCGAATAATACCGAGAGGCTTTTACTTACCTAAAGAAAGCTATAATTTCTATTCTAGTTTTATAATACTATAATCTAGATTTACCTATAATAGTAGAAATAAATATATTTAAAGAAGTAATTACTAGCCTATTTTCTTAATAAGACCCAGAAATAGGCCTTTAATATCCTATAGCTTATTTTTCTAAAACTATACTTCTAGTAGAGCTTAATTATAATATATATAATAAGGAGATATTTACTATAGTTCAAGTACTAGAGAAATAAAGAGCTAAGCTAGAGGGCCTTTAGGATATTTCCTTTAAGGTCTATTCTAATTACTATATCTTAAAATACTTTATAATTACTAAAAAGCTCTTTTTTTAATAAGCTAGATAAGCTAAGCTCTTATCTTATTATTACTTTAAGCTTATATATTATTCTGGAAAATTAAATAAGTAAGTAAATACTTTATTATAAAGATAAGATAAAGTAAATACTTAGAGCCAGATTAAGGAAAAGTTATAAACTCAAGTACTTTTCCCTAAAAATAAGATTAATCCGGAGATTATCTATAACTTATAGTTTATAGTAATATTTTATAAGGTCGGCTTACTTAATCCGGAATTCGGTCCTAAAAATCAAGTATATACTAAAGATTTTCCGGAAGAGAATATCCCTATTAGAGATATAATTCCCTTAAAAGAAGATATTTTCTTAGAAGCTTTACTAGTAAACTCTACTATAATAGCTTCTATAGAAGTACTATTAGAGGCTCCCGCCAAGTATAGTAGTTTATAACTTATAAATAAGATTCTATAGGATAATTATATATTATTAGATCTAGAGAAGCTATATATAATAGCCCAAGCCAAAAGTAATATCTAGATACTATAAGATAGCCTTCTTTTATACTATAGAAAACTCTATATTATAAAGAACGAAATAATTCCCGGACTACTTTTATAAACTACTCTAATTTATAAAGTATATAATAAACCCCTTTCTAGATATCCTGGATATATAAAGCTCTAATAGCTATTAAAGAAATAATATTACTAGTTATCTATAGGCAAGAATATTAATTAATACTATAGTAATTACTATACTTATAAGAGATTATATATATCCAGAGATAAGAAACCTGATTTACTTTATTTCTTTCTAGTTTCTAATTACTTCTAGTAGTATATTACTATAAACTTTAAGAGCTATCTAGAAAGCAATCGGGCCATAATATAGTTACTATATTCGTGAATTACTTATCTAAATACCTAATTATAATTCCCGTACGAGATATAATTATAGCCAAGTAGCTAGTACTTCTATTTTTACTTTATATAATATACTAAGTAAGTATTCCAGAAATAATTATATTAGATTAGGAACCCTAATTTATATCCGATTTTTGGAGCGAATTCTATATAAGAATTAGTATAAAGCTTAAGCTTTTTATAGCTAATTACTTTTAAATAAATAGATAAATAGAGATTATTAATTAGTATTTTAATTAGAGATTACGCCCGTATATTAACTATTACTAGGATAACTAGGATAAATGAATTACTATAATTAATTATTAATAAGCCTCTCTTTAGTATAAAACTATTAGCTAGTTCCTATTTATAACTAAAAAGGGCTACGAGCCTTATATTTCTCTAGACTAGAATTCTCTTATTAAACTAATTTACTTAAAGAGAAACTAAATAGAAATAAAGCTAAAATATTAGTAAATTAATTATATAAATTATAGTAACTTGCCTAAGGCCATATAAAGTAAGTATAGGAATAATATATAATATAAGCTAATAAATACCGCCGTCCGATTAATTTTAAAGTAGGGAATAAAGTATAAGTTACTATAAAGTACTAGAAGTCTAATTATTCGAGCCAGAAGCTAGGGAACTAAATAGAGGGCCTATTTGAGATTCTAGAATAGTATAGCTACTTATTTCTCCTAAAACTACTAGAAATCATAAAGATATATCCAGTTTTTTATATAAAGAAGCTATAAAAAGACTTCTAGAATCCTTTACCAGGTTAAATAAACCCGGAACTGCCCTTATTAATACTAGAGAATAGTAAATAAGAATATGGCATTAAACGGGTTATTATAGTTAAGCTAATAAGAAATAGGCTAAAGTATAGAATTTAGTAAGTTAGTTAGGATAAAGATCTAGTATAGTATCTAGTTTTAGTACTAAGTAATAGCTTCCTGGTTTTATAGAGTTTCTATAATAATAATATTAATATATTAGAACTTCTATAAAACCTATAATACTAGCTAGACTATATAAAAAATAATACTTATCTAAAATTATATAGAAATAATAATAAATCTTTCTAGGTTATATAATAAAGATACTAGCCTTTTATATATAATATTTATATCCAAGATACTAGTTTTATTTTGGGAAGAAGTATAGTATAAAATTAGATAAATTAATAGCTTATATAAAGCTCGGAAATAAGCTTATTATAAAAAGAAAAGTAATATTATAATTCCCAGATACCCGGTATCTGAGATATCTTACTAGATACTAGATGCCTCCTAAATATATATAATATGGCTATTTTATTAGGGAAATATACTTGAAATATACTAGAGATATTTAAAAGGCTAGCCTTTTTAGAACTAGTATATTATAGGATATATATATTTCCTTATAGCTTCCTATATTCTAGTTTTCTCTTCCTTAGCTTTAAATTGTTTTTATAAAAGACCTTTTATCTTGCTTTTTAAGCCCTAAATACCGTATTTATAATACTAAATAATAGTCTCTTAGTTTTATAAAGCTTTTATAATAATAATATTTATATATTAGAATTTTTATAAAACCTATAATATTAGCTAAATTATATAAAAAATAATATATATTTAAAATTATATAAAAATAATAATAAATTCTTTTAAGTTATATATTAAAAGTATTTATTTTTTATATATAATATTTATATTTAAAATACTAGGTTATTTTTAAAAAGAAAATAATACAAATTAAATAAATTAATAGCTTATTCTAAAAGAAAAAATAATATTATAATTTATTAGATATCTAGATATTTAGCTAGATATTTAGATATTTAAATATTTCCTAGATATATATAATATAGCTACTTTATTAGAGAAATATATTTGAAATATACTAGAAATATTTAGAAAACTAAATCTTTTTAGAACTAGTATATTATAAGATATATATATTTTTTTATAGCTTTTTATATTTTAGTTTTCTTTTTTTTAGCTTTAAATTATTTTTATAAGAAATCTTTTATTTTATTTTTTAAATCCTAAACCCGTAATAATATTACTATATTAAATAAATAAAATAAAATAATAAATATTATTTTACTTTATTAATTAAATATAATATATTATTTATATTTTATTTATATTTTATTTATATTTTATTTATATTTTATTTATATTTTATTTTATATTTTATTATATTTTTATTATATTTTATTTATATTTTATTTATATTTTATTTATATTTTATTTATATTTTATTTATATTTTAAGTTATAATTCGAATTAGAAATATTAATATATAACTACTAATATAATAATATTTATAAGTTATTAATACTTTTATTTAGTTTCTTTTATTATTATTTATAATAGTACTAGCTAGGGGCCAAAGGAGAGTAGCTATTATATAACTGGTTTTATCTAGCTAGTATTTCCCTTTTTTTATCTCCTTTCCTTCTCTCTCTCCTTCTTCTTCTTAGCTTAGTATTCTCAATATATAGGATTTTCCTGGATTTTTGAGCCCTAGCTATTGCCTCGATCCCGCTATTATATAATACTAAGCTTACTCAACTCGGCCTATAGAGGTAATATAATACTGCCGGCAAAGGACCCGTACTTGTTCTTAGGAAGCAAAGGCAGAATTCCGCTCCTAATATTTAATAGGTAATCTTTCCGAACTCAAAGAAGAAAGATACGTCCTCCAAGACCTAGTTAATCTCGGAGCCTGGCCCTTAACTAGAGCAGATAACGTTCCTTATCCTCCATAACCTAGTTAATCTCGGAGTCTGGCCCTTGACTAGAACAGACGATAACCCGATATTCGGTCCTCTGCCGACTCAAAAGAAGAAAGATTCCCGTCCTCTATAACCCAGTTAATCTCGGAGTCCGGCCCTTAACTAGAGCAGATAACGCTTTCTCGATATTAACGAGAGCAAAAGAACCGGCATCCCCCTCCAAGAACCGGCATCCCCCTCCAAGAATCGGCAATCCTCCGATTTAAAACAAGAGACACGCCAATCGGTTTCGGATTACCGACTTAAAACGGAAGAAACCCGGTAATCGGTTCCAGTTCGCCGATTTAAAACAGAAGCAACTGTCTCACATTCGCCTCTCCCTCGTTCGCCCCTCCCTCGTTCGCCTCTCGTACGGCCGCCCCTTATACGGTACTACTCCTCCGATTCGGACGATTCGGACGATTCTGCCCCAGAGGCTTACATACGACGTCCTCCTGCCAATAATTTATCGTCTGAGGAGACCGAGAGCCGACAAGATCCTGGCGAAGCTAGCTCTGGAGCCGAGTTTGAGTCGGATACGGAGGCTAGTTCCGGCTCTGCAGACGATTTGGACTCTGCGGACGGTTCTATAGACAGTTTCCTGGACGAGCTTGGTTCTTTGGACGGTTCTGGGGATGATTTGGACTCTGCAGACGGTTCGGGCTCTGCAGACGGTTCTGCGGACGATTTTGGGTCTGAGGCTAGTTCTGGAGCCTCAGGTGAAGGTGGAGGTAGCTATTGGTCAGACAGTGACTATTAAAAGCTGGCCGTTTTGGGGGTTTCGTCAAAACCCTATTTCCTTTATATACCTGAATAAGGGCATTCAGATTTGGTTTCCGGGGGGGTAATGTGACGGCGCTGGCTGGGGGCCAAAGGGGGGTGGCTGTTACATGACTGGTTTCACCTAGCTAGCCGGCGTTTCAGTGATTTTAGCTAGTATTTTCCTCCTTTTATCCCCTTTCCTTCTCTCTCTCCTTCTTCTCCTTAGCTTAGTATTCTCAATATATGGGATTTTCCTGGATCTTTGAGCCCTGGCCATTGCCTCAATCCCGCCGTTACATTATTTCTTAAATAAAATTAAAGTTTAGCTTATATTATATAAATTATTATTAATAATAAAGAAATATTATTATAATTATAAATAATTTAGAAATATATAATTTAATTATTTTCTTATTATATAATATATTTTAATTAGAAAAACTTTATTTAATTAATTATTTTTAAGCTATATTTAATTTATAAAATTTCTATTATTTTATTTAAATTCTCAAGAATTATAAATTTATTAAAAACTTAATAATTATAATAAGGTAAGTATTATAATAATATTAAAAACCTTTAATTAAGCTAAAGGCTATCTACTAGGCTAAAGCACTGACTATATGCTAAGTCACGTGCAACCGCACCACGTGACTAGTACCACGTAATACTAATTTAGAATTCTGTCTTTATAAGGCTCAAAATCAATCTTTAGAGTTATTTTAAATACTACGCAATACGTGCGATATATTAAAAGTGGGATAATAGAAGTAAGTTATACTAGAGGGCAAAAAGACTAATGTTGCAAAAATTAGCACTGACCCTTTTGGTCGCTAGGGTCACCCGTACGTGAACCCTTGTACCCGGCTCGTCTGGAAGTTTCACTTCATTTGCCGAGCATTCTGTGGTGGCTGGCCTCTGCTCAGAACTTCACGGCTCTGCTTGATTAGCAATTCATCCTCACGTTTATCCTAACGTCAACTTTAGGTTCATAGTGTCGTGACACTGAAGTTCAATAATCAGGTGATGAACAGTTGAAGATGGAAAGTAGACGGCGTCCTGCAGTGAGCTGTGAAACTTGCCGGTCGCGGAAGGTGAAAGTACAATTATATTCCCCTTCTATCCGGATGGTCACGGTAACATACCACCAGTGCATCAAACCAAATTTGGAACCCTGCCAAAGATGTCAGCGACTGGGAAAAGAATGCGTCACGACAGGGGAGAAATATGAGCGTCCATACTACCACACATCGAAGGAGAAATATGAATTGATAGCGAAAGTTATTCGACATTTTGTTCCGTCGGCTTCCCTTGACACCGAGGGACTTCGTCAGATCATTGCTACCTTCGATCAACATTCTCAAACTCCAGGTCCTTCGTCCGCGGGAAAGACTGTTGACGAAGATGCTCCGTCCCTGCGTCACGTACTAGACGAAGATGATGGCGCAATGCTTGATGATGTCATGAACACACTTCGTAAGCTGCTTTAAGAGGTTGAAAGGACTGATCTGACACAACTAGGTTATGAAAGTGGTTCCAGCTGCGCTGTATTTCACCAGAAGATATGCTCATCAGTGTTGACGAGTCGCTCCCGGCTTTCGTCCGTAAAGACAATGGGACTGAGACGAGAAGGTATCCAGGATGGCCAGATAGTCGAGCCAGTCCGCGCCTCTGAATTGCCCAAAAGAGCAATCTTTGAAGCTGCCGCCAGTCGATTCTTCACGGAGGTCAATAGCGTGATATTCGTGATGAGTGAAGATCTTTTTCAATACCGTCTGGACGACATATACAACACCCGGCAAAACTGTAGTAACTCCTTCCTTGCTATGATATATTTAGTGCTGGCGCTCGGGGAGAGGTCAGAAGTCTATTTCAAAGCGGCTAGCTCACTTTTCGACAAATCCATCGAAGAAGGAAGCGAAGAGAGTGTTCAGGTGGTCATGTTAACGGTATGAGTCTGATGATCACGATACTTTAACAAATCTCTAATAGTCCTAGGTCCTTTACAGGCAAAACCGAAACCAGAGGAATCTTGCCTGGATTCTCTTAGGGACAGGAATTCGAATTGCTCAGTCTCTGGGACTGCATTTAACCGACAAGTTCCAGGGAGAACACTCAGCGTACCGGGTTCAATGCAAAAGAAGGCTGTGGTATTCGCTTTATGAACTGGAACAACTTCTCGCATGCGCGAAGGGTAAACCGTCAGGCATCTCGGAAATTAGCCTGCTACCGGGGCGAGACATGGTGCGTACTGCTCCAGACTTTGGGGCCGATAATAACAAGACTTCAGGAAGTATGTACGAGTCCCTTCACACCCTTGGGATACGGCGCTGCAACAGCGGCGTTTGGGACCATTATTCGTCGCATATGCGGCCATATGTACCTTGGGACTGAAAATCAGATTCCGACGGAGACAACGATTAGCGCCCTTATCAATCAAGTCGAGGTGTGGTGGAATGCTCTCCCAGATTATTTGCGTTATGCAAACTTATCTCCACCTTCGTACTCCCGCGCCATCTCGTACCTTGGCCTCCGATATAATTATGCCTTGATGCTGATCACTAGGCGCTACCTTCTACAGTCACTGTTGTCCGGACATGACTGCGCGCCAGAAGTTGCTAGTCGAACCGAAGTTTGCGAGCGCGCCAGCGATCGTTCGACAACAATATTATTGGGGATGGCGGAGAAGAATATGATAAGCGACTTGATTTGGTTTGACGCCTACTTCATACTTTGTAATAGCATAATACTCTATCTCCAAGGTGTGAGACATGCCTCCTCGTCGACGCACCAGAAACAGATTAGGGACTACATACCCATCTTGAAATCGATGCGAAGATCACTGTTAAGCGAGTGCGCTCTGAAGAGTATGGAGGCTCTGCTGGCCGATCTTGAGAACAATAGTACTTCGGAGTAAGGTACCAATCACTCGTGTTGAAACAGTTGCTAATACCAAATTCACAGAGATCCGTTTACCGGTTTTGGCTGCGGCCCTATAGAGGCATTGGTGGAAACCGCCGAGGATAATCTGATGTCTTTTTTGGATCTGCAAGATGGTTTAGATTACTCAGATGTATTTTTTACAGGGCCATGAGTTGTGCTGCTAGACCCCCAATTAACATGTCCAATGTAAGGGATTCATTGGAAGCAATTGCTCCTAGTTTAATGAATCAAATTATGCAAGAAATCAGCGACGCTGGACCAATCAGCGCTTCAAGCAGTGCAATATATTTGCGTCGCACAACAGATATCTTCAGTCCAGCCTGTGTTACTCAGACCCTGCTTTCAATGGATAAATTTTTATGCTATTTTTTATTGGCATATTATTCCCACATCAACAAAAATTGCACTACCCAAAGAAAAGTAAAGCGGAGACGACGGAGGTGGAATGAGCGGGGCAGTGCGCGGAGCCCGAACCTTGGCATCCGTGCAAGTGCGGGCACCGCGCCATGCAAGCGAGCACAAGCACATTCGAACGGCGGAGCCCGCCACCATTCAGCGAGTGGAGCTGATAATTTCTGTCGTATACTTCATTTCGGTAAGCCTAAGCAAACTTCCACCAGAACTGTAAGTAACCAATTGGGATAAGCTTTGGGGTAGCAAATGCTGCGGAAGGTCCCGTAGCTTGACTCTTGTAGCCCGACACGGAAAAAAGTAAAACGACCCCCCCTCCCCCCTGTGTCGATAGGGGGTGTCGATTGGAGCAGGGGTGTTAATGACTTGTAATTGGATACCCAAGCTCTTAAAAATCTTAAGTTAGATTTTTTAATATAAGTATAAGCTAGCATATTATAACTCTTGTATTATAATTACGTGCTTCTTAACTTATAATAAAAAGATTCCTAAAATCGTATTTTAATTTACGGGAATTTATTTTCTAATTAATAAAATTCTAGTTTTGAGCCTTATAAGGCCCTATAAATTATAGGCTTATTTCTTTGTCCGGTAAGACATTACTACATTAGCAGCCGCACATGAATATTCCTGATTCGGATTATATTCTGGCTGAATTAGAGGTATTCATGTGTGGCCGCTAATGTGGCAATGTCTCACTAGACGAAGAGATATTAGGGACTTATTTGCTAAATTTCTAGGCTTTCTTAAGCTTATTTTTAAGATAAGACATGCGTTTTTTAAAATTATTTAATTTAAAGAGCTATTATTAATTCAAATTTTATTAATTCAAATTTATTTAAATAGCCCTTAATTAGCTATATAAAGAAATAAAACAAGTTTTGAATTATATTAATTACTTATAAAATTAAATTAAATTAAGAAAAAGCCAGAGTTTTGGTATTCCTGTCCGAGCGCCTCTACTTTGGGTTAGTGGCTAGTCTGGCCCCAATCGACACCCCTAATCGACACCGGGGGGGGGGGGGGGGGGGTTTACTTATTTCCCCTGACACCAGTAACGAGCCTGTGAACACAAGTCCGTGTTTTTAGGGCACTTCTCTAAGAAATGAATCCCATAACTATTCTAAGCGCATTTATTTTATCTTTAGAATTAGGTTTAAAGGCATTCTAAACTCGATCTATCCCTTTTCATCGTATACGCTTGAATTATACGAGGTGTTAATCTGTAGTTGTGAAGAAACAGTGAAATGAAGTGGGCGACTTTGGTTTTGTGATGCCTGAAAACATCGTTAAAAACACAGATTCATGTCCGCAGGCTCGTAAGCTCTCGGTCAGATTACATAGCCTAGGAGTCAGATGGCTGGTCGGAGGAAGTTCATAGAAGGCTACTTACGATACCAGACTAGATGTCCCAGATCTGAAGTGTTTTCAAAACTACGCTTATTCACTACATAACCTAATATGATCCCAATGTTCAATAGTTCTATAAAATACAAATACAGTTGTGATACCAATCTATTTCCCGAAGCACCAAAATAATAGACAAGACGACAAACTGAATGGTTCTATTACCTTTCGTCCCCGACAATGGGCCTTCTAACATTTTCTCAGGGCTTCAGAATTTGCAACTCCAAACGTGACGTTGATCCGACCACACGCTTGCTCGTTGTACGCTTTCTCGCTCAGTTTATTTCTCCCCTGATGATCTTTCCTGTTCTGTTTCCTCCACCTCACCCATAATTCGTGCCGCATGCGCCGCATATTTGCACCGTTTTCGAATTGCCGGTCCGTATTTAAAAAAGATGAAGGGGAACGGAACGCATAAAAGGGATAGAAACGCTGGAATTGATGAGGCCCAATGAATGCCTAGCTTGGTGAACCTGCGGGAATAATTAAGCCAGTAGAAGAGAAGGACGAAAGGCGCTGGAAAGCTTACATGTAGCTGGTGAAGAGGGGGAACACTGCACCGAAGACCGAACGGAGAACACTATTAGCGGCTAGTACCGAGGCCGTGTATATCGTGTAGGCGTCAACAAGGTAGTTTATAATACCAAGAAAGACTAGAACCATGCCGAACCCGAATGGAACTGTGGCGATAGTGCAAACAATCCAGTGGATTGATGGGTAATTTGTCCACGCGAACCTTTTACAAGAGAGTGGGTTAGACAGTGCTAACGCAATTTACTGTGGAACGAAGGATAACAAGTGAACTTGACTTACCAGAAAGCCCCAGTGGGAGAAATATAGATCCAACCATAACAGGAAAAAGGCGTTGCTCAGGCGGTGCCCCACGACTAGTTCTCTCAGCGGCTTTGATATAGCTACACGTCTTCAGTAATTTTCCAATCTAGGTAAGGTGAGATAGAAATGTACCGCTTATTCTCGGGAATGGTATATATAACAGCCAAAATCATGCCGACGGCCACACCGCAAAAAGGTAGACCTCCGATGCCCGCACTCCAACCCCGATCCCGCTGGAACACAATAGGAAATGCTGCGAACATCATATAGAGAGTCCCATAAACTACATGCGATGATCAGCCAATGCGCAGTGAAAAGAATCCAGCAAGAACATGCTCGAGGATTGAGAGGCACAAACTAATTGCCATATAAGTTGAGAGCAAGAGCACAATGGGCTCACGCAAGAGGAGTGCCCAGGGGCGCGCTAAGGAAGTTTGAAAGACCTGGCTTGTCGTTCTCTTCTTCATGTCGAATTCCAACTTGCTCTTATATATTCTCCCTGTGATCTTGCTTAACTTCTTCGCACGCATTGAAAGCAGGACCGGTGGGTATGTCTCTGGGACCATGAGGGTGCACAGGATCCACAAGGTGCCGTTGAAAATGGCCATCAAACCCATGATCCATCTCCATCCTTCAGCCTCCCCAACAAAGCCACCAACGATAGGTCCGAGAGTAGGCCCAAGAAATGGAGCAGCGGCAAAGAAAGCGGTCGCCAGTCCACGCTGCTCTGCCGTGAACAAATCCGCAATGACACCTCCAGCATTTGTCAAAGGACTGGATCCGAAAGCACCAGCAAAGGCCCGCAGGGAAATGAGGGTTTGGATATTCTGGCTTCCAGCTGCGCCCGCACACAGGATGCTAAGTACTCCATAAGTCGCTGTGAACACAATTTGACGACCATATAGTTCTGAAAGAGGTGCCCAGAGTAGAGGACCTATAGCGAAACCTAGGACGAATAGTGATACACCAAGCGTGGCAACCTCTTGATTGACGTCGAACTGTTCTATAATTTGCCGTATGCCACCGGTATATGCAGAGGAATCAAATGTGACACCAAACGTGGCAATGGCGACGAGAATAGTAATGGTCCATTTTCCTAAGGTCGGGAAGTTGCGTGGGTTGCGAGGATCATTGTGTAGAAATTCGACGATATAAGGGTCTTCCTCGGTGCCTGATCCTGAGTATTGATGCTCAAGTACTTGAGGGGTGATATGCGACTGTGATACGACAAGACGCAAATGTGCGAGGAAAGCTGCTTCTGTGGCCATTTCGGTCTTGAATGGGACTTTGGTTCCCGACAGTACTATGAAGAAAGAGAAGAAGTACACAAGGTAGGTGAAGCTCAAATCTCCTAGGCAATCCGGGGCAGCTCCATTACTGTTATTGGGAAGGACGCATCAATATACGGCCAACAAATTAGTTGCCAGCCTGCGTTTTACATTCCCAGTTATGCAGGCGACCTCGGAGATCGGTATTTGGTTGTTCAGCTTCGGGGGCCGGTCCCAACCCCACCATCTCGAAATCCGTCGCGGCCGGCAGGGCGGACTCCGCCTTATTGGGATCTTGCGACACAACATTAGCTTTTGTGCTCTGCACAATTTCTATGTCCTTTTCTTAGTAGCCCAGACCTTTTAGAATCTATTGCGCTGGGAGCAATATGGAGGTGCAAAAACGATAAGATTGAGGATTAATAAGGCCTAAATAACTAAGATATAGGTGGAGTGAGCTTTAAAACAGGAGAGAAAGAGTACAAAGCTTCGTGCTTATATCTATTAGCCTTTGGTAATATGAGTACTCCAAAGCACGTATTCTTTGTATATTACAAATTAGCTAATATAGCAAATGACTATATTAGTGAGCGTTAAGAAGCTCCGCAGAGCATTACAAATGAGAGTAGAGAAGACTAAATTAGTGGTGTAGCCTGGTACTGGAAGGAATAGTAGGCTAGCTAGGCTAGTGTACCACCAATTCAACAGAATTGCCAGACTAATAGGAGTGGAAGCGGGGGCAGTATTCCCACTACTGCTGGAAGGGTGACCAGCGCCTGAAGTTCCATAGAAGCCACCTGAAATATGGTATTCCATTATCAACTTATTAATAACACCACAGGTTCAGCTTTCCGCTATGGCCCGAACCGACTCTTCTTCAACGCCTCAAGTGGCCTTCAAAACATCTACGGCTCCGCGCCAATGTTCGCAAATCTGACTCCTCCCACTGGTTCTCTCTTCCCATAAGAGCCGGTGTTTTCCGCTGTGGTGGGGATTTTACCCCTATTGGTCACGTGGTTCTGTCATGTGACCTCCGGACGTCCGCCGTCCGCAACCCGCTTATATATTACCTCTCTTTCCTTCACTGTTTTAGAATCAACTAACCTTTACTCTCTAATTACACTTCTCGTATACTATAGTCCCATGCTATAAAAGCTCATTCTACTTTATATATTACTATTTATTTTATATTTCTATTATATTATAATTTTTAAAAGCTAGTATTCTTAAAAGTATAGGATTTTAGTATATTTATTTTCAAATAAAGTATTAAAAAGCATAGATAGGTCTCATAATAATTAGTATTAATATAGCTATAGTTATTAATAGTTAGATAAAATAGTTATATAATATAAAGATAATTAGAAATAATAAATAATAATTATATAATCTTATATTATATAGATAACTTGACTAGTAGCTAGTCTCTATTAGGCTTAGCAAATTTAGGAATCATATATTAATACTATAATACTATAATTCTTATTTCTAAATAATAACTATTTTACTAATTTATATAAATAGTATTTTATAATTATATAATAGTATTATATATTTTTAATAAACTAATACTAATTAGTTTATATTTAGATTAAAATAAGATTTATTTATATATATAGATTAGATAATAAGAAGATTTAAGCTATATTTATTTAAGATTTAATTTCTTAAAAATAAAGCTATTATTCTATATTAAAAAGAAAATAACTATTAATTACTTTTATTTATAATTCGGTTCTATAAAAAAGAAAAGGCACTTAATCTTACTAAGGCCCGACTAAGCTATATTAAAAAAGGGAAATAATAGTTGCCTTTATCTATAACTCGGTTTTATAAAAAGAAAAAATATTACTTTTTATTAATTATTAAATAGTTAGTTATTTAATTATCTAACTATTTTATAAAACTACTTTTTTTTATAAAAAAACTATTCTCTTTATAATTACCTAAATACCTGAAACTCTTAAGCTTTAGAACTATTAAGTTCTTTCGAAATCTCGATATTTCATTTCTTAAATTTCACTTTCTAAATTTCTTATTATAAACGAAATTTTTATCTCGAATATAATAATTTCTATAAATTATCTATTTTATAAACTATTTTCCTTTTTACGAATCTATTTTTTTTTATATAAATTATTATATCTCAAACTAGATATAAGCCTATAAAATATATAATAGCGGAATCTATTATAGTAAATAATTCCTTTATTAAATTTATTTAATCTAATTAATTTATATTTATAAGAAATAATAATTATAAGAAAATAATAATAAAATAGAAATATAAAATTAATCTAGATACTATTATAATATAAGAGATATCTAAGTTCTTAGATATTAAATTATTTTAATATATTTTTTATAAAATAATTAATAATAATTTTTAGAAACTATTTAGATATAACTTTAAGAACTTTATTTATTAAGGGAATTTTAATAAACTTAAACTTCCGGAAATACTATATCTATTATACTCTGCCGCTTTATTAGTAAATTTAGCGTCACGTGACAGTAATAACATATACGGCTGGCTAGTATTTAGAATACTAAAGCTCTTATACTTATAAGCTTTCTTTCTTAGTTTAGAATTCTCGGATTAAGAGCTATTTTATTTGCTTTTTAACTCCAGAAACCCGGTTTTATAATATTATTTTAAACTTATTTTTGTTTCTATAAAGGAAATAAAATTATTCTTATATCTTATATATAAGTACGATTTTTACGGCAATTAATAATAATACTATTAATATATATAGTTACGGAATTATATATCTATTAAAGAAATTAAGAACTTATTAGACTCTCTTTTATTTCAAGTTTATAATTTCTTCTTCTTTTTTCTGAAATACTATAATAAATCTATCTTTATAAACCCAGATTACAAATGTAATTACCGAGCTTTAAGTAAAGGTTTAATATTAAGCTAAGATTATTTAGTAATAGGGTAATAGTCTTCTCTTCCTATAAGCTCGCTCTTTTATAAATATGAAGCCGAAATTCTCTCTTCTATATCCCGAAAAATTTAATAGCCAGATTTATAAGTTTAATACCTGGCTTCTTTTAATTAAGGCTAAGCTATAAGTTAATAATAAGGCTATTAGTAATACTATTACTTAGTTCTATTATATTTACTTTAATCTAGAATCTTATATTCAAGTAATGGTTTTTTCCTAGCTTTTCCAGGCTAAAAATAATTAAACCTGGTTCTATCTCTTAATTCTTAACTAGCTCTCTTGTATTTACTCGAATCCGAATAAGATATAAAAGACAGAAAATAAGCTATATTCTTTTAAGTAAGGTATTAATTCGCTTTATATATTTATTACTAATTTTAAATATATTCTATATAAGAGATATAGGCAAAAATAAAATAATATTAATAAGATTATAGCTTTCTATTAAGAATTTAATACTATAATTAAGAATAGACTAGCTTAATAGCTAAATTTCCCTTAAACCTATACTAAGTTTATTGAGATAATATAATAGCTAGCTAGATATTCTAGTATATATAAATATCTAGTTTATAACTCTAAAAAAAAGCCTTATTATTTAAAAGATAATACTATAGATATATTAACTATTAATACTATTAGTATAATTACTGAGCCTTTATAACCCCTCTCTCTATAACTCTTCTTTCTATAACCCTTCTTTCTATAACCCCCCTTTCTATAACTCTTCTTTCTATAACCCTCCTCTTTATAATTCTCCTTTTTATAACTCTCCTCTCTATAACCCTCCTCTCTATAACTTTCCTTTCTATAATTCTCCTCTCTATAATTCTCCTCTCTCTTCTATATAAATAATTAAATATAATCTATAAGCCCGGCAAAATACTAGCTATTTTATAAGCTAGGCAAATATATATATTATAAAAATAATAAATACTAGATAAAGAACTATAATATTTAATTATATAAAAAGAAAATACTTCTGCCAGAACTAAAGATTATAATAGGTAAAAATAGTAGAAAAGTCGGAATTTATATAATTAATAATTCTAATATTTTAATTAAATTTTATAGCCCTTATTCTAATTCAGATTTAAATTTGAAAGAATTAGTATATTAAGAACTAGTAGAATATATAAATAAGAGATACTAGAAGTAGAATATATAAGAATATATAAGATTATATAATTTATAGAAGCTATAAAGGGCTTATTTTTAATATTTGAAATGAGTTTTCCTAAAAAGAGAGAGTAATATTATGCTCTGCCGCTTTACTAGTAAATTTAGCATCACGTGACCGCGATAATATATATAGCTGGCTAGTATTTAGAATACTAAAGCTTCTGTATTTATAAGCTTTCTTTCTTAGTTTAGAATTCTCGGATTAAGAGCTATTTTACTTGCTTTCTAAATCTAGAAACCCGGTTTTATAATAATACCTATATAAAATTCTTTAATATAGTAATATATATATATAATAAAATATTAATACTTTTATTATTATAACTATTCTATTTTCTATTATTAAGGAAAATATATAATATATTTAAATAAATAAGAATTTATTAAAAGCTAGACTAAATCTTATAAAAGAACTAATTCTATTAGGCTTTATTATTTTTATAAAAAACAAGTATTTAGAATCTATTATTTTTAATAGTTTTATATTATTATTATTTCTTTTTTTTATTATTATATTCTATATTTTTATTAGATTTATATACTAGTATAAAAGCTCTAGAAATAAATAATATACTTTTACTAGCTTTATTACTATTACTATAACTGTGAAGGCCCGTTCGTTAATGCGAGCGGTTTGGGAATCGGGGCTAAGCGAGGGGCCCGATTCGCTAATAAAAAGGCCTAATTTTGAAACAATATATAACTTTCTAATAAAAGGTAAACGCTGAATTTTAATTAAATAAAGGACATTAATACTTATAAGAAACTTAGATATATATTACTTAGATTAAATTCTATTAAAGATAAAAAGATTTAATAATTATATATTTTAAAAAACTGTTTTATAATTAAAATTATATA